ATATACACACACATGCTACATAGACATACCCATGAACACATGCTCTTGCTCTCTTTCAATTTATATACTGTATATATATATGGACCACTACACTAATTTAGATCTTTCTTTTTCATATTGTAAGTAAGCGCTTTCAAATGCACATGGTGAATTAAAAGTGCATAAATTTACTATTTTAGTCACTAGAAGCTTGCCTGCTCTCTTAGACTGGAGATTGTATCACATAATCTCTCTAACCAGCAAATCTGTGTTTCCAGATACCATGTGTATCTTCTCAGAAATGAAACAATCATGACAGTTAAGCTGTACCATCTGCATTAGTGTTCAGAGTTTCCCTTTTACAAATACATGTAGTGTTTCCTTTTACTGGGTGAAAAGTTCCTGAGGGAGTATTGATTTGACAATTGTGTTAATCTGGGCTTCTGTAGTGCTCAATGTGCTTGGGGGAATGCGAAGCTGTGGGCACTGTTTAACGTTCTGAGATGCTTTTGGAAGAGAAAAACATCACCTCTTACATGGGTTCGCTACCAATTGAGAGTACTCACTGCTGAGTACGTACAACCCATAGCCAGAGGCAGTTGTCTTTATTTTTTTCCTCTGCCGTAACAGGAAGCTCTGATAATCCCAATGTAGGATAGCAAGCTTCCCAAGAAGAGCTAGTTCAAAGCCTAAGCACAAATACTTCTAATCTTTATTTCAGTAACTTGCCAACTTCAGGGTCCTACCAATGAGTATAAACACAGTGTTCATGGTTAACCCTACAGTTCTTCTAGTGTCTGTGTCGGCTGGTCATGGGTAAACCGTACTAGAACCAAAATGTTAGCTGACCAGCAGTTGTGCTAACCACAACATCTCCACTGGTTGCTGTTTAATGCTGTGGTAGTTAACGTGATTCCTCAATCTTTTGTTCTAACACATCTATGCTTTGTAGCAAAGACTTGTGTTGTATCAGCAAAAGTCCCTTCATGACTGCTCAAAGGTGATCAGAAAAGAGGGGACTTGGCTAATGCTGAGAAGAATTTTTAGTTCTTGCTGATTCTCACATTAATCCCTGAAATTGAATTGATTAGCATTTTTGTCTATGTAGATCTTAAACTTGATAGGCTTTTTTTATTTGCAAGTGTCTTGGTTTGTTGGCAGAAGAATTAAAGGGGTATGGGACACAGGATATATTTGTGCTCTGTACCAGAGGAGAACTCTCAAAAGTATCGGGTGCCAAACCTACTAAACTCCTACCAGCAGCATGGGATTATTGTGCATCACCATCCTATTCTTGATGGAGACACTCCTGACATCGCCAACTGCTGTACCATTCTGGAAGAACTAAGGGGCTGTCTGGAAAACAACCGGAAAACGTTAATACAGTAAGTTCCTATTTCCTTCCTATCTCCACAAGGAATCTATCAATTTCCCTCCAGATGGATGAACAATCAAAACTTTAATGTATAATAAACAATGTCAAATGACAGTTGGCTGGCTTCCTTTAGGGTTAAGTCAAACTGTCTGACATTCCCTCTCTTTCACCGGGTCTTCTTCTGGCACACACTTGCCCCGTTCAATGAGAAATAATGCTAGGCCTTGTAGGACTGGACACCTGGAGCCTCCCCCCCCCTTTTCCTAGCTGGTCTAGTGGGGTGACCCAGGACGTACTACCTGAGAGAAACTAAAATTCACAGCAGCTGCCAGGGTGACATACCTTGAGCCTTTAGGAAACACTAATGGCTACTAAAAAATAAGTCTACATTGCTTCCGGCCATCCACCTTACATAAGGATATCATGGTGCATTCTACTAATCCACTAAGAAATGGACTTTGGGTGAGGAGGAGGAATTTTGATCTAGAGGTAGGATGAAGTATTTCCATTGGATGCAGTGTATCTTCTTTCCCATTAGGCACCAGAGAAGCTATGGGCATAAAATCTACCAAAATGATCTGATCTTGCTTTCTGTGAATCTAGAACACAACTCTTTGGCGGGGCGGATTCCCACGGGTTTTACCAAAGGACTGGATTTTCACACAACTCTAATGTCCCAAGCCTGTACTGTGAGGCTTGTTTCCTTAGATTATAGGAGACCGTGGAATTGTAGTCGAGGTATTTTTGAATGAATTATTTTTCCACTGGGTTCACAAAAGAGGGAAGTAGCTTCCAGCCATCTTGATCCCTCAAGGATTACCAAGCACAACGAGGCCCCAGTTCTACTGCACTATTAAAACAAGTCCTTCTTTTCTTTCAGCTGTTACGGAGGACTTGGACGCTCATGTCTCAGTAAGCATCTTTTCCCTCCTCCCCCCATGTCATTGCTTAATATTGATGCAATTTAGCCACATTCTCCTCTGGTAATAGAACTAAAATATATATTAGTCTGGTGCCTAAAGGAACAAAATGCATTATGAACCAGAGGTTTCTGAGTTGGAAACGGAACTTGGTGCCCTTGCACACTGGAGGCCTTGTGGAGTCGTGTGGAAAATGGGAGAAGTTTGATAGCCTCCTATAAGAAGATTGGTTATAGTTTGACAGGCCTTGGTTACTACAGTTGTTGACAGAAATATGGGTGAGAACACATCTGGCCTGACCAGGCATCCACTGTAATAAATGGAGCAGGCTCAAGCCAATTTATTTAGGAGTTCATGGTACTGATCAAGCAAGAAACTTCTCTAGTCAGACTTGTTAAAGAATAAAAAAAAGCCCATGAACAATGCACCATAGCTCTGTGCACTCAAATATAGAAGTGTGGAGAGACCTTTTGTCTGATTTGTAAAGGAAACAAACTAGACCTTGCCTCTGTCTCCTTTTCCACACCTTCGCTGTGACTTGCCTCCATTCCTGCCAGGGTGGGGACTGCACTCTGCCCGCAGAGCTCCCTGCATGACCCTCAATGAGGGGGAAGCAGGAGAGAGACAGCTCTCGTTTTGTCTGTTTGTTTTTTCTCAGCTTAGTTCTCTTCCCCAAAGCCTGAGGGGTGCCAAAAGCTGCAAACACCGCAGAAGGGGAACGGAGCTGAAACAACAATCTCCCAAAATGCAAACGCAGCCCTCGAGATGTTACGGGGCCAACTTGTTAAAGTTTTGAATTAAAGTTTGGACTTTCCCTCCAAAAAGCTCTGCAGACAGGAACACTGGGGGAGCCGCTGGGGATGCAGGGAAAACTTGAGCAAACTTCCCTGCTGCTAATGACTGGCAGGCCTGGTTCTGCCCCCAACTGCACCCAGGCTGAAGTATCCATTGTAACAGATCTGTGGACCTTCGTATGATGAAGAAATTCCAGTTCTGAAGTGGCCGTGAGACTCCGGTGGTTGTCTAAGCACAAACATCAGTGAGCAGAAGTTTTATTACATACAGAGATGACTGTTAGCATGTATACTTATGCATCTCTTTTCCTTACAGTAGCTGCATGTCTTTTGCTTCAATTATCTGATGCAATGGAACCCCAAGAGGCAATAGAGAGCCTCCGAGACTTAAGAGGATCTGGGGCAATACAGACAATAAAGGTAAGGAGGCAGTAGGGGGAAGAGAATACTAAAATGGAGAAAACCTCTGGTGTAACTGTGCTTCTGTACTAGGATCTCTCTTCATGAAGAGATGCCTTTGTCTTTCAGAGAGTTAAAGCAGGTCTCTAGTAATTCATGCCCTTACTACCTCCGAAGGTTGGGATTGAGCTGCTTTTAGTCACATGCTATCACACCAACTCAACCTCAGTCTGTCTGCACCAGAACTTCACATCTTTCCTCCTTTATCGCCAATAGCCATTCTATCCCCTCCACCTCCCCAACCGGTTGCTCTGTTCTTTACCTCTCTCCCCTGCTGCCCTCCACTCCACTCCCACCTATGGCTCGTAGTAGGCGTTGTTGCTTCTTCCTTTATATTACCAAAATCCCTCATTGCGCCTTGATTCTTAAACTCTTCTCTTCCCCAACTCACACTTACATATTGTTCCTATTCTAGCTGCCATTTTCCATTTATCATCTGTTGTCATCCTCTGCCCAGGTTCCATTGCTAGTATTAAACCTACTCAGAATACATAGCTCATAAAGCCAGAGAATGTACACCAGTCAAGATCTCACCACAACTTCTAGATCTAATGTTATTTTAAATGCCTTCTAAAGAAGGCGGAGTGGCAGAGAATGCTGCCTACTGCTAGTTGAAGTAGCCGAACAGGATTTGGGAAGCAGGCACACTTCAGCTAAGTCAGAGTGGAGAGCAGAGTAAGCACTGTTTACTGAAGCTAGGGAGAGGATGGGGAGTCCCACCCTGCTTTTATTAGATATGGGGGATCTGTTTTAATTCCCCTGATTGCCTATAATATTTTTGAACACTTGTTATGCAGTTGACACCATTTGGAATCTTTACTCAAGACTGAATGGGCCTACCAGCACTCTATGTGGATTGTTGTGCCCTATATTCAGCTAGCTGGAAGCAGTATTCTTCTTCTTGGACTATATGCAGAGGGAGTGGAGCTACTTATTCACAAATGAAGCAGTTTCCCATTTAATGCTAACCACAACCAGAATTATATCATCTCCAACTTCACTATAATAGGAACACAGGAGTTGCCAGACAGGATCAAACTTAAGGTCCATCTAATCCAATATCCTGTCTCTGTCTTAACAGTGGCCAGCACCAAATGCTTCAGAGTAAGGTGTAGTAATTGTGCAATAGGCAGATGTGGGGTAATCTGCCCCAATTGGGTCTTATCCTACCCTAATAGCTAGAGACCTGCCTAAACCACAAAGTATTTAATGAAAGGTTTCAGAGTAGCAGCCGTGTTAGTCTGTATCCGCAAAAAGAAGAACAGGAGGACTTGTGGCACCTTAGAGACTAACAAATTTATTAGAGCATAAGCTTTCGTATGCATCCGAAGAAGTGGGCTATAGT